GGTAGGATGAGGAAAATCAAGTGGGAATGAGGAGTCGCGGAACACTTATTTTCAGGAGTCCAAAGGAAGGAGAAGGTAGGGGATGTCATAGATCCTGAGGAGAAACCTCAGTGACATCTCAAACTATCCTAAAATGTGGTTACATTTTGGAGACGATGTTAATTAATTGTTTGATCCTGTCAATTTTATTATTTGGGACTTAAACTTGCATAATGTTTGATCATGCAAATAACCCATAGAGATAAGAAGGTTTACGTCGTGTCACACGACAACTTCGGAACCTAAGGCGGGTTAGGACTTACGCTGCACAACATGGTTGTACAAGAGTCTAAAAAGAGTGTGAGGATTTACGTCGCACTAGGCGAGCTACCTCGAAGTCCTATGGGTTGTTATTATACTAGGAAGGGATAATGCTGAAGAAGATCCTCTTGCTGCTCGGTTTGAATTCCTCGCCGTGTTGCCCACAAAGTTGGCTCCAAGCTCCTGTTATAGCGATGACTCCAGGGTTTAAGTGTTTGAGATTGACGATTTATGTTTCTCAGTTTTGGTGTCAATATTTGGTTTTGTTTTGTTTCGATTTTGGTTTCAGTTCTGATTTTGCATGCAGAGTAGTAAAATTGCAGTTAAATAAAAGGTACTTGAAAGGTAAAACGCAGTAAAGTAAAATGTTGTAGATAAACTGTAAAAAACGTACATGGGCATCTGCTACTGTTGCGTTATTAATGTTGCGAGCATAGTATGATTTGCAGCAGTTTAAATAAACTTGCAAAAAAATTAAAAAAGGTGAGAAAACCCAATGCAAAAGTCAGAAAAATGAGTTGTAAAAAAAAATCACGATAAAAGAAACTCTTAGCCACATATGAAAGATCGGGACTGGGTATAAGATATTGGTAAAAGTGGGGGCTCAGAGCTGGGCTGTAGGCTTCCCAATCTTGAACAGGAGTTACCGGCCCAACAATCTACAGAAGGCAGTTCTTAACCTCAATCCAAGTGACTAGCCGTGGACTTTTATAAATTTTCATAGAAAGATTTTCATGCAAAACTTATTATTCAAGTTTTTTTTATGCAGAGTTCTCTTAATCATGCAAAAAAATATATATATATTTTATTTTTGTAAATATTTTATAAAGTCGTACAACCCACTCTAATCGTGCTAGAACTACTGACAACCTAAAAGTGTCGGGGGCAACGATCCCACCAAGAATCGACGAATAGTATCATAGGTCCTTACCTCTCCCTTATTGAAGATTCTTGAGGTAGAAGATATTATTCTAATAATCTAACATCGTATCCCTCGTTTAAGCACACATAAGCAATGTTGTCATCGTCCTCGCCACTTAGACCCTAGACTCATCCTAGTCCGATGATCCATATGTGGCGTTAACAAATTTCCTCAATTGCCAGGAGAATTTGAGTGTAATATCTAAACTCAAATCCCGATGCAATGAGTTTTATTGTAGGTTAGATCATTGAGTGAATTTCACTGTTGATTTAATTAAGGAAGCATGGGTCACATCTCGGTGCATCATGTCTAGTGTCTTAGTCAGTTTGTGGATTAGGGTCAAGTGTCTAGTTTCACTGTGCATTCAAAGATTATGTGAATAGACTCTTACCTAAGGTATGCTCCTAAAACCTTAAGAGGTTACACTGCAGAGATTAGGTAGAAGTGCTCTCACCTAGAGTGTGCTCCTAAAGTCTAGGAAATCTACACTGAGGATTAGATGGATGGGCTCTCACCTAGGGTGTACACCTAAAGTCTAAGAGGTCTACATTGAGGACTAGGTGGATGGACTCTCACCTAAGCTGTGTGCTCCTAAAACTCTAGGAAACCTACTCTTTAACTTATGTTTAATGTGATTTAAGGTTTTCTATATTTTCCAATTAATTAAATCATCAATCCCCATCTTTATGACTTAACCATTTAAAAAGAAGTAAAACAAAAGAAAGATGAGGCAAACTCACTTCCAAAACTAGTAAAGTCAAGGGGGAAAACAACGAGTGGATCAGCCTAAAAGCGTTTAAATAATAATCAATTGAAACCCAAAATAGTGGGCAAAAAGGGGTCCGTAAAATCAATTCTAAACCGCATGTAAATCAGCACTTGTCTCCAAAACAGTAGGCAAAGCTCTCAAAATCAGCCCCAAAACAATAGACAAAGATCTCAAAATCAGCCCTAAAACAATAATTTTAAAATTCCCAAACAACACATGTAAGCTTAAAGCAATA